CAATTTTGAGTTGTTGCGAGTTACCGTGTAGTGTAGTACTGGAATTTATACAAGAATGGGATACGTTAATTGATTTGCTTGGGACCAATAGGCTAGTCAAGTAGTGAGCCAATTTAAAAATCGTTAGTTTCGTATTGATTGTTGATACTACTGCCCTGTATGGCATTCCAATTACCAAAACAGTGTACAAAGAGTAGAGTCTATTCAACGACGATTCATCTGGTTTGCCCTTCGACGTTTGCCTTGGAGGGATCCTCATCGCCTTCCAAGCTACGAAAGTCGGTGCCATTAAATTCACCTGGATCCTTTGTGGAGTCGAAGAGATACGACAAGGGCCCTGTTTGTGGCAGACATTCTACAGGGCAGAATCGATTGTCTTTCTATTCTACAACAAATCGACGTTAACGTTCAACCACGAGCACTCCGTAACAACGCAATGCTGGGGATACCTTTTCGTCGTACAAACTATAGTTCGTATGGTGCTATCAATGGACTAAAAAGGGTTTACAATCGTGTTGCTTCCTTATTTGATTTTCATTTGGCACGCGAGACGCTGCGTCAGAGATTCCGTGATATATTTTTAAGAATTAGCGATTAAGTTGGACTTCACGGCCTTTGCAGCTTGTTACTTCTTGACTATATTGTATTTCCTAGTATTGCTTAATCCATCATTAGGACTAAACCCAGTATATTGTAGAACCAAATAAACAAATAAACAAATGTAGACGCATGGTAGTCTAGTCGCATAGGAGTATTGATCGAAACCCCAAACGACCTCTCAAACATCATTTAAGGTGTGGTCGAACAATCATCAATTTATTTGTTTGTTTATGATCTTACTTAAATTTAAAATTAAAGTAAGTCATAAGTTAAAACTACAAAACATTAAAACATGATCATTGACGATTTACATTTCTAGAGAAGAATGAAGATAAACGTCTCCAAAGTGTTTGTCGTGGCAGGTGAAAATCGAATGCTGCTGAAACTCGAAGCATTCGGGGTTGGACATTAATGTTTACTTGCTCCAAGATTTCGGTGCAATCAATTCTGCCATGTAACGTGTCCGCGACAAGCAGGGCTTTTGAAGTATTTTTTTTTTTCTGGTGCGAAGAGACTCCAAGTCAATCAGCTGGCAGCTACTTTCATAGCTGGGAAAATAAAACGGGTCTCCAAGGTAACATTCTCGAAGTGTGTCGCAGAAAGCGGCAGTGAACGGACTCGACTCTCGCAGTACCATTGTTGTAGTTCGGACTCCAAACCACAGAATAATATTCTAGAATGGAGCGTACCAATACAGTGACTTGAGGCAATGGATGTCGGAGAAATTCTTAGCTGTTCTGAAGATAAAACCCAATGTCATTGACGACTTGTCTACGACGTAGGAGATTTGTTGCGTCCAGGATGACACCTAGATCTTTTACATGGCTCATAACTGGTTCTTTCTTTCGAGTAAAGGAAATGACTGAACACTTCGCATGATTTACCATCATTCGGTTCAACTGGCACCTGCTGTCAAATGCTTCAAACTGACGTTGGAGGAATTGACAATTATCGATCGTGCGGATCCGTGAGTAGATTTTGAGATCGTCTGCATACGATAGTCGAGTGCCTTCGATAACTAAACTCACGTCATTGAAGTAAAGTAAGAAGATCAAGGGTCCCACATGACTTCCTTGCGGTATTCCTGACGTAGCTGCGAAAATGTCGGACTGGCAGTCACCATAGGTTACCACCAACTGTCGATCGGCGAGATATGAGCGAAACCATCTCAAGAGATTTCCGCTAACCCCGAGTCTATCCAATTTGGCGATCGCGATGGCGTGATTGATCTTATCGAAGGCAGCAGACAAGTCAGTTTAGATGACGCCAGTTTGTGGCCTTTCAACCATACTTTGCGTGATGTATGATGTCAGAACAGTAGATTTGTGGTAGTAGATCGACCGGAGGTAAAGCCATGTTGATACTGCTTGCAATGGGAGAGCAGAGGCACTATGGGTTATGTCCAGCCTCGGAAGCTGCCAGAAGTCCGCCTTGACGTAATCAGCAGTTGGAGATTTTACCGAGCTAGATTAAGTGTGTAAGTTTCATCATCCATGATGAGACAATGAGGCTTCGCCAGCATCTGGGTGTACAGTTTCCGGGCCCGTGATTTTTCCACCGTATTTTCATAGAGGTAACTAGAGGTATTTTGCCGTTCGTCACGATTTGGAGCCTTCTGCATTTTGTACGTATTCAGTCCTTCCCGGTCTTTTGCTCTCTGAACGAAAGATTTGGACAGATTCAACTTTTTGACCACATCCCTGACCGAAGCATTGGGATTCCGCTTAAACGCTTTCACGACACGCTTGTGATCCTGATCACTAATAGAACATCGATTCTGACCGAGGGGGGCGACACATCTTAATCTCAATTTTAGATGCTCAAAAAATCTCACACTAGCGAATCAATCTTCGAAAAATCTTCTTGTATTTCTCGCATATACTTGCATCGCGCATCATTTTTTGCAAATGCAATTTGATGTGGGACACCCTTTAGGGTCACGTATTCGTTGGGTAAGATCTCGTCAGAGAATACACTTGCAAACTTGTTGGAGAACAAGCGACAGACCTCCTTTGGAGTGGAAGCGACTTCGCCGTTCAATATCATGGATGGTGGTAGACCGAACTCTCTGCGCTGCTACTTCACGTACTTCCAGAAAGACTTCGGGTGCGACTTGGATTTCCTTGGAATCCGTCGCAGATAATGCAGGTAGCATCGACGGCTGACTCGCTTGAACTGGTAATTGAGCTTAACGTAGTGACGTTTCAGCGACATCGTGTGATATGTAGTGAATTTCCTCAACGCTTCTCTCTTGATCGATGATCGGCTTTCCGGAAATTTTAAGACACCGTAGAGGAGATGTCTTCGAAATGCTGGATGATATTGTCTTCAACAGTAATAACCAAAGGAGGATGATGAGGAACTTCCTTTACAAGAGGAGAAGGAGCCGACGAGATGAATGGAGCCGTATCATGAGCGCTTACGAAACAGAGGTCTAAGCTACGATTGTTTTCGTTAACCACGGAATTGATTTGAGATAACGTCGCTGCACTATGGCTGTCCAGAAGGCTAACTGATCCAGAACGGAAAGCAGAAGCTGCGGGGTCCGGAAAGAGAAAGCCACTGTGGGAAGGTTTCCACGAAACACCAGCAAGATTAAAGTCGCACAGAACAATAATCTCATCGATAGGTGACGCACAATCCATTATGGTGAAAACGGATCGACAATGAGTTTCGATAAGTTCAATGTCGCGAACTCAGTCGGGTGCGATGTGTATCACACATAAGTACAGTGTGCGATCGCTCAACTTAACAGCTGCCCATGCCTGTTGAACGCAGTTCCACACATCGTGCTCTATGGCTCTAACATTCAACTGGGATCGAACAGCAATCAGAACACCGCCACCAGTGGACTTTTGACTATTGTTCGGGTTTAGATCACAGCGAAATATCTCGTACTCACATCCGAACGCCTGGCTTAAAAGCGTTGGAGAGTCTATCCATGTCTCAGTTAATACTATTACATCATAACTTCGGTCCGATACTGCTAACAGGTACTTGTGAACGTTAGAACTCATTCCGCCGATGTTTTGGTAGTATATGATGATATGCTGTTTTCGGCGTTTATCCTTGCTAGGCGGAGCGATGTCCCTGGAAATCACGGGGGGGTCAGGTAACAAACGAATATTACTATTACCAAGACGATACTCGCCATAGTGAACGGGTTGGAAGATCCCTATGATTTGATCAATATTAAAACATGTGTCTCACTCAATGTTCAAGACTCTTATTTGTCTAACTGTTCCTACCTAGTTGGGAACAATGAGAAAAAACATTTACCATTAAATATCTGGTTGTAACTAAATTAATCTTTCATGTCAATTAGAAAACTATTCGAATGAGCTCAAAGGCTAGTTCGTAGCTTTCATCGAAAACATTTGAAACGTTGTTGAACAAAACCTGTCTCACTGTTGACTACTTTCCCCTATCCACATTAGTTGACTACAAGAAAGTTTGGACTTGGGAGTTTGGACTATCCTCCAAGTGAAGGAGTTCGAATTCAACACCCACGATGTACCAGGAAGCCAACATTTCAAAGTGGTCATTAATGGCCTTCCGATACTCAAATCGACGGATATACAGTGATCAAAGCTGAATTGGAGAGGAATCAACTCAAGCTAATCAGCGTGTTCTTTATAGCGAGACGCAGAGAGGGAACAGGAGATCGCGGCAGTGCTTACCTCGTTCATTTGGAAAGGAATCCACGACGATCCACGCATTGGTCCTCATCGTGGTATAGTTGGAAAAACACCGTCCAAAACTTCGGGATGTCACCCAGTGCATCATTGTTTTGGGTTTTGACACGACACCAAAATCTGTGGCATGTGCGCTGACGATCACAACATAACTGTCTCTAACAAGGGTCAGGGAACCGAACCAAACTACACAAACTATAGTTCCAACGATCAAGTTAGCTTGCGCTACGTCAACTGCGTACTCTGTCCAGAGTCGTCTATGGCAGCTACCACTCAGTTCTATGTTAACTGTTCATGAAGTACGATCCGTAGATAGGTAAATTTGTTTCCATTGCGTTGATTTTGACAAACATCTAAATTAATAAATGTACTAGCTGACCCATCTTGCCCCACCTTACCCTACATCAATATTTAGAAAATCCAACTGATCGCAGAGAAGAATAGCCACTGGCCAGTACCTATTTGTAAAATAAATATTCATTGTACTTTGTAACTTCAAACCTGCAGCACCGTTTTCCTTTTAAATACCTACGCAATAAAAATATTGAGATCATACAGCCGAAATAAGACGCATATGATTGCTTTTTTTTACTAAATCAAGGTGTTTTAGGCAGTAATACTGCTACTTACGATCAATTAAAACAAGCAAAAACAATCCCGTTCCCCACCATTCCACCACCGTGACGTCAAAAGCGTAATACTCACATGTAGCTCATCAATCTTGACCGATAGGTCGGCTATCTCCTTCTCCTGCATGGTGGACTTCATCTTCAAATCATCCCGAGCCGTTTCCGCCTGCAGCAGGTCATCCTTCAAGCCATCCACCACTTTTCGCAGATCGTTGTACCGGGAGGATCCCAACTGGACTGGCCCCAACGAAGTGCCGTCGTCCCCGATAAGATTGGGATTCTCATATCGTTCGATGATAGTTTGCAGTTTGCTTATCTCTTGCTGCAGGACCGATTTCTCTTCGATCAAAATCAACATTTTCTTATTCGTTTCATGGCACTTCTGCGCTAAACTATCGCGATCTTCCTGCAGTGTTTTCACATCCAAACTCGAGGCATTGATTGAATTCCGCGATGGAGAAACTCCCTGCCACACATATTCGATATCTTGCAAAGCAGCCATTATATTACGCTGAAGCGATTCCTCCAGTTCCATAATCTGCGTGATGTACTTTTGCTTTTCTAAACAATTGACCGCACATCCGAGAATCAGTTGCAGCAATCGTCCCAATTCAAATCCGTCGCACTTTTCCGCAATATTCATAGCATCTGGCCGCAGCTCCTCCGAAAGGTTCAGGCTCAGGATGTCCTGATAGTACACGTAGACACCTTCGATAATCTTCTTCAGATTACTCACTTTTAATCTCCAGTTGTGTCCGACGTCTACCTTTATTTTGGACAGCCATCCTGCGCTAAACATTTCCGGGGCTATCAGGTGCAGGGCCTGCGCTAGGGCTACGCCATCACTCAGCTGCTGGACGTTTTCGTGCGGAGCGGTCAGCTGAAGCACACCAAGCCAACGTATCAGTGATTCGTAAATTTCCATCTTGTCACTTTCCATCCCGCACTGTGTGGCACAAAACGAGAAACTAACGGAACTACTCAAACTTGTGGATAAACTCGATTACGCGAAGAGTAGATACGAGGAGAAAACAGCGGAGTGTATTATCGCTTTTTCTGCTTGTTACCTGCCAGCGAAAAAAAAACTGTACTCTGGTGATTAAAAATTACAATAGTGCTCTGTTTACAATCGCATCGCATTGACAGAACTGTCAGACAATGACAGATCATGTCTCGGCCACCAATTGAAAACGGCCTATATCAGCTTTTGTAGCAAAACTTTGTATTGTTGATTGCACGAATTTTTAGACTTCTGCGAGAAGATTTCAGTGACAGTTATGCTTGCGCACTCACTAATACTACTTAATCCTTATGTCAGACAGTGCAGCAGCAAACCATCAAAACCAAAACAAAACAAAATAAAATTTCTCACGATCTGTCAAATCACAAGCCAACTAGGCTATCCAAGACAAGGAGAGGAGGTCTGGCAATGTGCAGCTTGTTGTTTTTTCCTTCGCTCGCATTCGAATGGAACAGTGAGTTTGACGTCACACTTGTTGTTAAATGGTACCTAACAGTAGGGGAATGAAAGAGACTATCCCGCATAAACAATAACCATAAGAAGCGCCTAACCACCAATTCGGGATATCATCCCAACTTTATGTGGGATGGTCGTACCATCTATGATATCGTTAGAGTATGGTACCCGTTTATTAGGGATAAAATTAGCATTGCCCGATCTTTCTCTTTGACATAGCTAGGCTACGTTTGTGTGAGTAAGAGATAGGTGTACGCTGGGTGTGCGAAAATATTCACTGTGCAGAAATTTTCAGCACAGTTGTCTAAGAAGGTGCAAAATGCGCAATACACTCAAAAATATTATTAAATAATGAAATAAATCATAAATGCTGTGTTTCACGCCCGCATAAACGCGAACCATACTCGCCATATCCTGACCTTACCGAAAATGGTTGAAAATTGTTTATAATCCCTGCTAAACCTTGTTCTAAACATTAACTGAAATGGTTATGGAACTTTACATGAACGTTTGCGTGATAAAGTTTTAACCTTATGCATAATGGTTTTTTGGAAGTGAACCTTACTAATAATGGGCTGTTAAGAACCATTACCATTCAAAATTGCATGTTTTCTCCATACATTTTCGGAAAGAAAACTATACTCTAACCTCTTTACTTATGGTCTGCGAATTTTAATAGTAATTGCACAGACAAACAGACATAACACTCGTAAGTTGTTCATCGAACAACTACCGCCATCTGTTCAGTGTACTACCCACCACAGTGTACTCAATAGATGGCGGTAATGTTTTAGCGACGATGTTTTACAGTGAGAAATATTCAATGTGTTATGTCTGTTTGTCTGTGGTAATGGTTATGGTAGTCAGTAAGGTCCATGGATAACCATTTCAGTTTAAGTTTAGCAGGGATTATAAACAATTTTTAACCATTTTCGGTAAGGTCAAGACTTAGTTATGGTTCGCGTTTATGCGGGTTGCGTTGATCGATTTTTTTTTTGCTGTGCATTAGGCCGTATGAATAAAAGCGTTTACTTTACTTTTTCCGTAAGAAAAGCACGGGAAAGTAAAGTAAACTCAAGAACAACATATGAAAAAGGCATACAAGCTTTTTGTAAACAAACCTTCTTATGCCCTTTTCTCGCCACCCATATGACATCAACGCAAACCAATAACATTAGTGGGTAGGGGAAGCTTTAAGGCCCAAGCGCAATGAAAGCGGAAACGGAACGGCAGCGACAGCGGAAAAGCCCGATCTGAATAAGCCTACTTGTCAGATTGAAAACAAGTTAGAACCAAATCGACATCGGTTAGGCTTCTTGATGTCATTTGTGATAACTTTCAAACTTTCCGTTTCCGTTCCGCTTGCGTCCACATTGCAATGAGTGGCAGTAGGTACACAGCAAAAAAAGTTGTTGAATATTACATCGAAACTGATGCAACCAGGTCAATCCATCGGTTGTGTAATATCACATTGTACGATGTACATCGATTTTGCGAACAAAATTACATCCATTGATGTAATATTGTATCTACTTTTTGCTATTACATCATTATTTCATACATCAGCTTGAATTACGTTGATCGATATTACATTTTTTTTTGCTGTGTATAGAGCATTTTTGTAGTTTTGATATGATTCTGCGTTTTGTTTTGCAATGGTCCATTCCGCTTTGCTCCATTCAATGAGATCAGTGACGTTAGATCAATTAATACTAATGGCAGTTACTGGGGGTAGTATATTAAATTGATTAAAATTTTTAATCCTGAAATTATCTGTTTGCCTTTTTATATAAACATATTAAATTTATTTGTATGTATTTTAGGGGGAGTAATGGGTTATTTAATGAGAAACGTAAAGTTATTTTTATTTTAATAAGTCATTAGTAATTTATATATAATTTTTTAAAGGGAGTATATGATTTAAACCTGTAATTTCTACAATTTGTGTTATTAAATGACTATTGATTTTAGGAATATATTGTTACAAAAGTTTTGATAAAGGATGAATTGTCCAAGGATAAGGGGCTTGTTGATGATTTGTCGAGGGGGACGACTCTATCTACGATGCAGGAAAGATTGTGTTTTGCTGTGGCTAGCTGCGTGCACGCTGAGTAGATAGAAAGAAGATTGACGATGATTCTGAACTTGAGATTTAGATGTGTCGCCCTCCTCGTGATTTGTCAAGTGTTGCTATCATTTTTTTTTTGCAATTTGTTAAAATTGTAGTTTTTTTTCCAGTTCATTGATTTGAAAGGTTCAAGCGGGTTAATTTCTAGCCGTAAATTGTAGTTTTATCATTATTATAATATTAGCACAGACAAACAGACGTAACTCTTTGAAAAAGTTTTTCTTGAAAACATAGTATCTCACAACATAGGACCTCAGTAACGACATCTATCATGCTTCTCGTGGAACACAAGCTTGCTCCCTAACTCGCAAACAATATTGCATGAAAGTTCTACAGAATGTATAGAAACGTCAAAGTGATCCGATGCCAGCGCAGCGGCGAGTAGTTCGCGAAACTGATAATATTCAAATCAACCGTTTAATGCGTGAACGAAGATACACAATGAAGATTTACGTCTGTTTGTCTGTGATATTAGCATCAAATAAAATATGCCGATGATGTTGTTGGTTTGCGTGAGTGACCCTCGGTTGGCGAGAAAAGGGCATACAAAGGTTTGTTTACGAAAAGTTCGTATGCCCTTTTCACATGTGGCTCTTGAACTATTTTTATTAATACGGCCCATTGTAAAAATCTATGTTTGTGACACATAAACGTAATATGATTAATTCTCTCAGTGTATGGATTTTACTGATTTTACCGATTTTACTGACCTGAAGTCCATTTGACATTTGGCGTCTGAACGTCGAGCGAACGGTGCGATGTCAAGTAAACAAAAACATGGACGCGTTCGGTTGGCTTTCGTGGGAAAAAGTTGAATTAATCTAAATTTTCTGTGTTTTTCTTCATTTTAAACACCGACCGAAGATGGATTACCGGCCAAACTTTATCTGCTTCGATCAGGTATGTCGGATTTGCATGAAGAACAGCACCGAATTGCAATCGATCTTCGGTCACCCGCAGGACATCCCCGAACTTATTCGGCTTCTGTCGAAAGTGGAGGTGAGTTTGTATGGTGTGGATTCTGTATCCTACGGGATATCCTCGGATTATCCTTGAATGATAATATTTTCGCTGTGCCATGTGCAGGTCTTGGAGGATGATGTACTCCCGAAGCAGATCTGTTCGGAGTGCATGATCTTCGCGGGAAATGCGGCAGAATTCAAGGAACGTTGCATTCAATCGAACCGAACGTTGAGGGAATACATTTCGGAGAACGCGGAAGACCACAAGCAGTACTTTTTGAAAGAGGAGCCTGATTTGGTGGGGGAGGATGGAGACAGTATTCCGCTGGGACCGGAATTCATCAAATGTGAGATTGATGAGTCGAGCAGCGAAAAGCCTGATGAGGGGGGCAATGATTTCGAGATTGCCGATGGTATTGATAGCGTTAGTGACGAGGAAGACGATGATCGGGAGGAGGAAGAGGAGATTAGGATTGATCGGCGTATTCGAAGACGCAGGACGCGGAACACGGTAATTGATGATTCGGATGATGAACCGCTGATATCGAAGAGAAGGAAAAGCGAAAACCATAGCTGCACGATGTGTGATGAAAAGTTTAGAAACAAGGCTCACATCAAATTTCATATGCAAAGCGATCATGCTGATGAGAAAACTTCCAAGGAAGATAAGTAAGTTGTGTCGAAGATTTGTTGTGTCATGATTTAACATTTTCTGTATATGGCAGGATTCGTCAGTGTTTTTACTGTCCGAAAGCGTACTCAAATTACGAGTATCTGAAGATTCATTTGAACTTCCATCCCAGGAACGAATGGACATGTCCGATGTGCGGCAAGGAAATGAAGAACAAAGGTAAATTCATCGATCATTTGAGGATGCATGCCAACGAACGCCATTACAGATGTGATATATGTGAGAAAGATTTCACATCGCACAAGTACATCGCCAACCACATGAAGATGCACAAGCGGAAGGGTGAAAAGAGTGTATGTATTGTTAATTTTATGTGATTTGGGAAGTCTATTAATGTTGATTTACAACGCCTTACTGTCAATTTTAGAGTACATACAACTTTGAAGATTCTAGTGATAGCGATTACGATCCAGTGGAAGATGATAAAGAGGAGGAGGAGGAGGATGAGGAAGAGGAACTGAATCTGTCGGACAAAGAGGACACGATTCAGGTATTATTTTATGAATATAAAATGTATCAATGTGTTAACATACATACGCTGGTTTCAGAGTGCCTACCAGTTGAATCCGGATGCTCCGAAAAATTGTCCGGTGTGTAACGAAACGTTCGAAAAAGTGACGTACGTGAAGTTTCATCTGGAGAGTGAACATATTCCCCTAGATGAATCCACTCCAAAGTAAGTAGACTATTTTAATAGTGTTCGAATTTAGAGAGCCCATCCTTTTAATGAGAGTCTTTAAATTGCAGAGTCCACCATTGCGTAACGTGTAAGAAAAATTACATGACATTCGATCATCTCATGAACCACATGAAACTACATGCGGAGAAGATTTGGAGCTGCCCGGAATGCAAGAAGCAATTTCGCCGTCTCGATAAATACAAGGATCACCAGAAGATCCACCAGAATGATCGTACCTTCCTGTGCGTGTACTGTGGTAAGGATTTCCCTACGACCAAGTACATGAACCGCCACTTGCAGACTCACATCAAGGAGAAGGTTCAAAAACCGGAAGAGGTAAGCTGCTTTGGTCTAAATGATCTGTCGAGCAAAATGTTAAGTGTTCATTTCCGAAGGAGTTCGAGTGTGAAGTTTGCGGAAAGAAGATGAAATACAAATCAAACTACACCAACCATATGAAAACCCACGGACCGGCGCATGTCAAACCGATCAAGCAGGATCCGGAGTCACCCCCCAAGAAGATCTATCTGTGCAGTATATGTGGCCGAAATTGTGGCTCTTCCAGTAATTTAACGGTACACATGCGGCGCCATAATGGACAAGCCATCTGTTCCTGTTCAGTTTGCGGCAAAGGATATCCCCGTAAGGCTGATTTAGTTATGCACATGCGAAGACATACAGGTACTGTCATCGGTGATTTCTATTTGACGAACTTCTCTGATCTACCCTTCAAACTTAGGTGAAAAACCATACGAATGTTCGACATGCGGTCGAGGCTTCGCCAGAAGAGACAAATTGCGAATACACATTCGAACGCACACCGGAGAGAAACCATATGCTTGTCCTTGTGGACGGGCATATGCTCAGGTATGTCATTTAACCGTTTCTATTTCAAACTGATACATAATAAGAACACTCGAAATCAAATTTGATTTTCCCACGCAAATATCACAATCTAGAAAAACGATCTCAAAACTCACCAGAAGCGCAACACGTGCGGTCAAAACTTTGACATCACAAAGTTAATGGCTCCCTATCAGACATCGATCTGTGTACGGCCGCAGCCTCATCCGGTGCCACCTCCTCCAAGGGAACCTCCCGCCCCACCTGTACCGGTCGCCTCCAGCACGGTAGTGATTGCCCCGACCATTCAACCATACGCCAACACCAACTCCGTATATTCCACGGTTACACAACCGATGACCAGTGGTGGGACTGCCGGAACACCCGGTATGCCCAGTGTGCCTCCGTCACCGCATCACGATCTGAGCAGAATGTCCGACTCGGTTCCGAACAGTCCCGTCGATCTGATGACTCATCGGCATCCTTTTGCGCCGTTCCCCGGTGGTGGTGTTGGCAATATGATGCCGAACTACTCTAATCCGTATCAACAGCCCAAGGTCGATATGTGCAATCAGTGAGTGCATTTCTTTTTTAAATCTTTGACTCTCATTCGCTGCGAAATGGTGGAGATTTTTAACTCTTAGTTTTTATTTATATTAATGCCGTACGATAAATAGGCAATAAGCAATAAACTTGATGCATAAGGCATTACTGAGCGGATGAAGAAGCATTGAATTGGATGACAGCCCTCCTTCTTTAGAACACTTTCAAACTCCACCAAAAATATCGGTGAACTAGTCAGCAGTCTTTTTTGTTTGTTTTATTATTGTTACTTTAACCCTATAGGTCATTCATGACGTGACCGGGAAAGATACAGGATACGTTTCCTTGCTGCAGGCTAAGGAAGACTACTATGAAGCCCCCAATAGTGTTAACCTTATCAACTGTAGTATTGCGTATTGCGCACATGATAAGTGCAGATTCGCTTATAAAAGTGCGCTTTTACGTTAAATCGTTTCGGTGTCTTCGGATCACTTATTCCTTGGTTCATAATGAATAAGTGCGCAGAAGGCACCAAGATGATAAAACGTAAAAGCGCACTTTTATGAGTGATTCTGCACTTTTAAAGAGTCTCGTTTTATTTGCAATTGATAATAAGGAAAAAAAATAAACATTAAAAAACATTATGCAAAAAAACAAGCTATTACTGGCAAGTATATTGACGTTTCAGCTTCTCCTTTGCCTGATATCGCTTCAACTTCTAGCTGTGTTTCCGGTTCTACGACCTCCACACTAGCCACATCATGTCCATGCATCCGTCCTGCCAACTACCAGCAGGTTTATGCCGCCACCTGCTCTTCCTCGGATCCGGGACACCCTAAAACAGGCACTGAGGAAGCTTCCGAACCTCCTGACCCAGTCGCGCTTGCTGCAGACATCCGCCATCGTCATCGTCCCAGTCCTGTGTTCGGTGGTGGTATCGGGGGCTTCCGGCCTGCAACCTCAGGCGAGTATGTTAGCGATTCCGAGCTTTCGGTACCTGATGTCCTTTCGATTTCTAGTTCCCGTGATTGCTCCTCGAATGGTCTCCGGATCTATTACAAAAACGTGCGTGGGCTGAGGACTAAAATCGACTCGTTTTTCCTGGCTGTTGCGGAGGCCGAATATGATTTGATTGTGCTGACGGAAACGTGGCTGGACGACCGAATTTACTCATCGCAACTTTTCGGGTCACTCTATTCCGTCTTCAGAACTGACTGGTCTGCCCTAAACAGTCAAAAATCGCGCGGTGGCGGAGTCCTGATTGCAGTATCTACTAGACTAGCCAGCTACGTAAGTACGTCACCCATTTCCAGTCAACTGGAACAGCTGTGGATTGTCGTTGAACTTCCACAAAGCAAGCTTAGTGTAGGCGCAATATACCTGCCTCCCGACCGCAAAAACGACTGCACGATCATCCGTGAGCATGTGGAATCGTTAGGCTCAATTTCGTCACAATTAAGTCCCAGCTCTCCCGCTTTCGTATTTGGTGACTACAATCAAGCTGGTCTGCAGTGGCGCTTCACAGACAGTGGCACACCATTAATTGATCCACTGCTTTCGCATATGCCGGTTGCTTGCTGTGCTCTTTTGGACGGTTTTAACTTTTACGGGTTCACACAAGTGAATAGTTTTCCGAACCGAAATGGACGTTTGCTAGATCTTGTCCTGGCAAATGATTCCGCACTACCGGGCACTTCTGTTTCCTTGCCGGTCGAGCCACTGATTGATCTAGATGCCGATCATCCCGCTCTCGTTGCGTCATTTAGTTTACCTACGCCGATTCTTTTTACGTCGTCATCTGAGTGCTACTCTTTGGACTTTCGCCGGGCCGATTATGTTGCATTGAACAATGCGCTTGCGGAAATTGATTGGCAATTTATCGAAACTGCCGCTAGCGTGAATGATGCAGTGGATTTTTTCAGTGCTGCACTGGAAGATGCTATTTTCCGCATTGTCCCAGCTCGACGACCTCCGCTAAAGCCTGCATGGTCTAACTCACGCCTACGCGTACTAAAACGTCAACGCTCTGCCGCCCTCCGAAAGTATTGTAACTCTCGCTCGCCGTACTACAAACGACTGTTCAATTTTGCGAGTCGTAGTTATCGAAATTACAATCGTTTTCTCTATAATCGACACGTGAGACGCACGGAAGCGAACCTTCGCACGAATCCGAAAAGTTTTGGGTCGTTTGTCAACTCCAAATGGAAGGAATCCGGGTTGCCTTGTTCCATGTTTCTCGGGAATGACTCGGCTAATAGTGAAAGAGAAAAATGCGACTTGTTTGCTAGTCATTTCAAGCAAATGTTCCACGATTTCTCCAGTTCGCCAACACAAGTGCTGGACGCTACTGTTGAGATGCCACGTGATGTGTTTAGTTTCGTTATTCCGTGCATTTCAGAAGACATGGTGATAGCCGCAACACGCAAACTGAAGCTCTCGTTCGCCGCCAGACCTGACGGCATTCCGTCATCAGTTATAAAACGTTGGCAGGATGGCAAGTCGATACTGCGTATATGGATCTAAAAGCTGCATTTGACACGGTGGACCATAATATCTTGCTGGCCAAGCTGGCGATCTCGTCAACTGCTGTGGATTGGTTCAGATCTTACTTGGAGAATCGCTATGTACATGTCAAGATTGGCGCGTCGGAATCGGATGTTTTCTCAAACAACTCGGGAGTCCCGCAAGGCAGTAACCTAGGACCACTACTATTTTCGATCTTTTTAAACGACGTCGCCTTGCTGATACCATCAGCGTTTTCTATGCAGACGATACGAAAATCTGCAAAATTATTAAAAGCCTCTCGGACTGCTGCGATCTCTAGAATAAAGGGCGAACACGAAATTATTGCGACACATTCAACAGGGCATAACTTTTTTACCATTGGGTAAAAATTAACCAAATTTTGCACACTTTCTCATTGATGTGTATTGTGTACATGCTGTCAAACTCGAAGTCGTGTTTTTCAATTCAACGAAAATGGAGGTGAACCAACGCAAGTTGAGAGAACAAATTCTTTCCAAACACCTGGAATTTCCTGACCTGTCGCACCGGCAGTTGAGAAAAATGTTGAACATTCACCATTCAACCGTCTCCAGAGTGTTGAAGCGGTTCCAGGAGCGGTTGACGTTGGACCACGGCAAAGGAGCTGGAAGAAAACCGGGACCGGAGAACAAAAAGACTGAGGGAAAGGTGAAGCGGATGATTAAAGCAAATCCCAACGTCTCAAACCGTGATTTGGCTAAAAAGATCGGCATGTCGCAGAGCTACGTCCAGAATGCAAAGAAGAGAGCTGGGCTACATACATACAAGGTACAGAACTTCCCAAACCACGATGAGCGGCAACAATCGATGGCTAAAACTCGGGCACGGAAGCTCTACGAGAAGATGCTGACAAAATATGGCTGCTGTGTGATGGATGACGAAACGTATATAAAAGCCGATTTTAAGCAAATTCCGGGGTTGGAGTTTTTCACCGGCAAGAGCAAGTTCGATGTGGACGACAAATTTAAGAAGAAGAAAATGTCGAAGTTCGCCTCCAAATATCTCATTTGGCAGGCCATCTGCTCTTGCGGACAGAGGAGTGAGCCTTTCGTGACTGACTGAGTGCCTCGAGAAGCGCCTTTTGCCGTTCTTGTAGCAGCACGACGAAGCTCCGCTATTTTGGCCAGATTTGGCATCATGCCACTATTCTAAAAGTGTCCTGGAGTGGTATGAGGCCAATTCTGTCCATTTTGTTCCAAAGGACATGAATCCGCCAAACTGTCCGGAGCTGCGCCCGGTGGAGCAGTACTGGGCAATAATGAAGCGGGATCTTTGGAAGAGCAAGAAGACAGTTAAAGACGAGAAGGACATGTTAAGAAAATGAAAAAAAAAACTGAGAAACTGGTACCGGATGACACTGTAAAGACTTTGATGGAGGGCATCAAGCGAAAATGCGTTCAATTTTACACTCAAGGCTCCATCGATTAACTTTTCTTTTGATTTTTGAAGTAAATATATGTATAAAACTACCCTAAAATTTTGGTTTGATTCTAAACATTATAAGAAAATTGGCATGACATTTTCGGTGTCGCAATAATTTCGTGTTCGCCCTTTATGTTAGGTATTTTTGCTGACTGGTGTTCGAGAAATTTGATGAGTCTAAGCATAGAAAAATGTAACATTATTTCCTATTACCGAAAAATCGAACCAATCATGTTTGACTATGTTCTCTACGGACGCTGTCTTGCTCGTGTAGAGCACATAAAGGATCTCGGCGTTACCTTGGACTGCAGACTCACTTTCAGAATCCACTACAATGACATCATCTCCAGAGCTAATCGACAATTGGGCTTTATTCTAAAATTGCCGACGAGTTTCGTGACCCGCTATGCCTCAGGTCACTTTACTGCTCTCTTGTGCGATCCTTATTGGAGTCAAGTTTAGTTGTTTAATGCCCTTTCCATGCTAGCTGGATCACTAGAATTGAATCCGTTCTACGCAAGTTTGTGAGATATGCTCTCCGTTTCCTCAACTGGCGTGACCCAACGAACTTGCCACCGTACGAGGAGCGTTGCCGTCTCCTGGGAATCGAGCCATTAGAGGTGAGACGGACGGTCGCTCAAGCTGTGTTCGCTGGAAAGCTGCTTACAGGTGACATTGACTGTCCAACACTGCTGTCACAGCTAAATATGTATGCCCCTGAGAGGTCTCTTCGTCAACGCGACTTTCTGTTTTTGGAACCACGGAGCCGGAATTACACACAACACGAGCCAATTCGAGCAATCAGCCGGCAATTCAACAACTTTTTTTATATGTTCGATTTCAATGTATCACCTGACGTGTTTCGTCATCGGCTACTTGGCCTTTTCCTCGGCCTTTTCCGTACCGTTGACCGTTACTATTTAGTTCAAGTTTTATTCATTTAGACAATGTTAGAGATGAACTAGCTTAAGGCTAAAAATCTCTTAAATAAAGAATTAAAAAAAAAAAAAAATTTAGACAATAATTGTCAGTTGAATTTTTCTATAAACAATAAAACAACAACAACAATATCTTATAGACAGTTCTCCTGCCGGCGAAAAACGGATGGAAACCCTAATAAAAATGGTATGGTTAATTTGCTTAACGACGTGTTCTGGGTATCATCCAAACCATTTGTGGAATAGTTCAATGATTTGGGTTATCGTTCGTTTATGGTTATTTTTTATTAGGGAACTTTCGACAAAGCGCATCACGGGTGAGATGAAAGTCTAAGACAGATGCAACTCTGTTAAATACTCTCTGCGGTCTGCAAATTGCACCGTCTTCTTCTTCTATGTCTTCGCATTTCAAGCTTATCGCATATTAGCTTATTACGTGCTCTCAACTTAGTGTTCCAGCATATGCACTTCCACAGTTTTTAATTGAGAGCTTTCGATGCTTGTACCATTTACGCATTGGTATAATTGTGTGGTAAGTACAATTATACCATAGAGGTAACTCTAAGACTAGTAGGTCCCGAAGAAGAGTGCTCAACTTTTTGGCTCAGTTCTGGTACTATCTTCGGTCCCAAGCTAATCGATTCACCCCTCGAAACATAGTAAAATCCTCTAACCCCTCATTTTATCTGTCAAACTTTCATAGCGAATCAAAACAAACATTGTGTAGTACTAGAATTCGACTAGAATGGGGTACGTTAATCGTTTTGCTTGGGACCGATAGGCTAGTCAAGTAGTGAGTCAATTTCAAATCGATTAGTTTCGTATTGTTGATTATACCCTATATGCCCGGGGAGCCGAAACATTTTCCAAATCGATTAACGAACCGAACAGTAAAATATTTGTACACGCAAACCAAAAATCTATTACAAAATATGTTAGTTCCGTTTCCTATCATCCTCTGTTCATGAACATCGCAACGAATGTTAGAAATTGACCATGCAGGCGATGTAATGGTTTTTTGTCTTTTTCTATTTCGTGTTCCATCTACGCTTTCGACTATACTAGTAAGCTTGTAGAACGACGCACATTGTAGAACATTGTAGAACGACGCACACACTTCTTGTCTCGAATCTCTCCATCAGAACAAGCTTACGAAGTCGAGCATATTCAGAAGCATAGAGAGAGCAGTGTAGAAAGCACAGGTCTGATAATCGCAACGTCCGTGGTTCGAGTCCAGTCGGCAACCTTTTTTCTATTTTTTTCGACATAATTAATTTCACTCACTAATACACTCAACATTTTTCGGTCTCCAATTTTCTTACATCGGACCGCAGCTAGGTATATCGCATCCTCGGTTCATGCGGTCTCCACTAACATCCTCTGATGATGAATCACACATAATTGTAAGCGAATCTTACATCCCCCGGTTGGGTGTAGCATTAACTTCTTCAGAGGATCATCACCGATCGTTTCAAACAAGTTTTGCACTCTCATTGGTGGAAAAATGACAGGACAGCGAACAAAAAATAATCGATTAGTTGTTAATCGAGTAATTAAAAAATGGGACATCTCTGATTTTGGTGTGATTGTTTTGATAAAAAAGCGCGCACCGAGGGGGCAGCTAAACCACAAAATTACCTTGCATACTGGGGATATTCATTGGATGAAAGGGACCGTGAAAGAGGACACTAAAATTGAAAGTTTTTCTTCCGACAGTTTCATCTTAGTATTCATCTTTGGCATTACTGCTCATAAAATGAAATTTTTACAGAAATAATTAATCTACATGATTAGTGATAGGCTAGAAACTAGCTCCATGTTTGATGCTATTCAAACTGGAGTATAATTTGCGAACAATATCGTCTTTGAAATTCTATAACGGATTGGAATGCTCGATCTCTTAACGATAATGAAGACGAACTATTTAACTTTTTAAGAATTTATAACGTGAATACTGCCGTTATAACTGAAACGTTCCTTAAACCTGACCATAAGGTTAAAAGGAGGGACGTAAATTATTTCATTTATCGTTGCAGAGCAAACATTCTAAGGTGACGCTAGTTAGCAGTTTAGACGCCATACTGGATGATGAACTTACCGAGGACTTTGATTTGCTCGGGCTTATTGTGGCACTTACGTAGAGCACCAGTCATGTTCACGAAAATTTTAATCAGTTCATCTGCTGAGAGAACAGATCGGGGTTGTTGTTTAGCGCTGGTGGTTGTCTCCAGAATCCAGCAGAATCACCAGAAGCTTCTTGAGAAAGGGGGGAGGGGTTGCACCCGCTAATTTGCTTGCCTTTGCTGGGAAGCTCGAAGAGGCGGAAAATCCTCCGTCTTGAATGCTGGGGTTTTGTCCTTCTTGCGTCCTGGTTGATTGTTGCTTGCCGCCTACTTTCGGATACGTTTGAAGTCCTCGCGTCTGTCGGAACCTTGATGTGCACCACCACAGTTGGCATATTTTAACGCCACGGCTCCATCCGCAGGGTAGTCAGAAGTGACGTGTTCGTGAGTTGCGGGTACCGTGTCCAAAATTGAGGCCCCGCTGGCACTGCGCTACGTCACGATGCCCTACCCCCCATTGAACGCCACCGTCCCTTTCTGGAAGTGCACCAGGAAAACACAATCCGGGTACGTCTTCACGTTTTCGTCTCTCCTTGTCATCCGGAAGACAGCGATTGGGGCCAGCTTGTACCGGTCCTTAATTTCGGCTTCGACCATCTTTGGGTCGAAGTTTGGTAGACCCCTGGTGACTACCTTGAAGGGCTTTGCACCGGGATGTCACGCGTGAAGAATTCCGCCTTGGAATCCTTCAAGTATTTTACGGCCACCTCGTACTCCGCTTTCGTACGGAGCAACACCTTGGTGCCGATCCTGCCGAGCTTAAACTCAGCGGCGACGCCCAGCTATGTGAAATCGCCAATCAGCATGTTGAATGGCACTTTCTTTTCCACCAGTGGAGGAAGCTTTATTTTTGCCGCACTCGGGCCGGCAGAATTCTCGTTGTCAACGGCGTTGGCGAAATCACCAAAGAACGCTGACGTTCGTCGCGGTGGCATCGTCACGTCCACTCGCACCATCGGATTGGCCCTGATTTTTCTTCCCCTTCTTGGTCCGCTTCACCGTGGCTGAGGTGGTATTCCCAACATCGGTGGGAAGAGTAGCGTACCTATTCGAAATAGGTACACTCAAGCTACCCTCACCGCTGTTCTTCTTCTCCGCTTTCGAGCGCTGTCTTCCCATCACACGAAGCGACTGACTAGAAACTTTCGAACAACACGACAGAGCGAGCAAAAACCGAACTGTACTGCTTGACGGTCAAGCAGAGAATGTCACTGTCTAAAACTGATTCAAACTCGCACGGTGATGCTCACTACCTTTAAAGCAACGCACAGTGTTAATGGTCGTCGCTGATTGGTTGGGCTGTTGGTAGACAATAATACAAATTTTCACAAATTTTTGGAATAATTTTTATTTCTACACTCTACCATACAGTATTTCTGCTGAGGATAGCTGTGTACGTTTCTGGCATTACTTACTGCCATTCAGCCGCTATTTTCCTGAAACATTGAACAACAATATACTATTTTGCTTGCATCGTCAATTTTGAATTGATTTGTGTGATTTAGTTTTATCTGATATTCATAATATTTAGCCAAAATGCGATCAATTACAGTTTGTGTTAATTATTTTAGCTTGTCATTCAAAATTGTCCTTCCATGAAGTTTAATTTATTTGTTCTACCGTTATAGACTATATTGCACCCGTTAGTCTGTTTGTAGTACAAGCAATAGCATAGTTTTATGATTACAGTTGAGATCATTTTCATTTTAAAGTGTTAAGAATACACTGTTCTCCAGAGTATGGGATGCCAAAGAGCTACGAATTGGCACTCATCTATATATGCAGATGCTGTAGGTATTTGTGTATACTTTTTAGTAGACGTTTGAACTGGCAAGGAGGTTGTAAAGCTTCCGTTTATAAACTATCGGTTGATCTAGAACTCAAGGGCTACACTCGGACAGTGTCACAATCTTAGAATATAAGTAAAATATTGCACGATTGATAGCTTATGTACAATTGTCTATTGCATTGGACTTCTACCAGGGTCGCCACATGCTGTCATCGCTTGAACCATCATTGTGCTGATCATGCGAAGGACCTTCGTTCGATGAAATGTTCTCGTACGAACTGCTGGGGCCTGCTGGATGTTCTACCTCATCCCGTTGTTTATCCTCCGTTGCATCATGAGATGACGATGCCAGTGGACTAACCGGACCCGCTTCTTTCTTGATACTATGATTGGAGCATTCGTTTTCGGTGTCATCAACCTCTGTCACGGAGACGAGGGTTTCTTCAACGGGATCGTCAACTTCCATCTTGCTGACTGGTGGTGGAGTTGGAGGTTTTGGAGCAGACTTTGCCATCAAAGCTCGGACGTCCTCTAACGTCATCTTGCTGATGGAATCCGGAATGCCAAGGGACTTTTTGTACAACTCCCAGTAGTTTTCGTCTACGTTTTCGGGCAGTGAGTGAAGATTGGCCAGAATATCTGCGGTCATCTTTTCGTGTAATGCAGCTTGCCGGCGGTTCTGTTCGATGAGCGTTTCAAAGTCGGTGGCCGGATGCGTAGGAGGATGTTCTACGATGGGTTGAGTGCTTAGGCCGAGTGCCGTAGCCAACTGGATGTAGTGGTCAGGTATGAGCAGTGCCATTTGGCTGTCATTTATCCGAACCTGAGGAGGATATGGTGGCGCTGGAAGGTGCTCGGAATGCTGTGGAAAGAATACGTTGATTATAATGCAGAACTAATGAATTATTGAGTTTAGTGGTTACATTAGAAACGTCCTTATCGGATTCCATGATTCCTGTAGATGGGGTTGGAGAAGAAATCGCAGGCGAGGTTGTAAATCCACTTGGCATTAGACCGGATTCTTGTTTGATAGCCGTCGGATCGATACGGCAGTTCTTGAGGTTGTTCATGTCAATCAGTTTTTGCTGTTGCGTCAGTATCATTTTGTTGAGCGAGATATGACTGGCAAAGGGTGAAACCACGCCTGAACTACTGCCAGGCTGACTTGAAACACCGATCAGTTCACCACTATGGCTCATATCATCCAGATGATGACCAACTAGGGGCTGCGGTGAGTGTAAAGATTTGGTCCTATGACTTCCGCGGTTGTTGTTTTCGTCTTGGTGGTGCTGCAAATATTCATAATTGAACTTGGATTCTAATTTAGAAAATTAACGAAGATCAAACTTACCACTTTCGGAGTGGGTGTTAACAATCCAAGGTCCGTTGTAGGACTCCGGTATGCATATGGAGATCTGCCTATTTCCCGATTGGTCTTGCTGAAGTCCAACGGGTTCGAATCCTGACCGCTATAATCTAGGATGTCTTTGGTTTTCTTTATCCCCGCGTGATTTTCATAGATGCTCTCCACCTGTGTCGTTTCCGTTGTGCTGCCATTGGATATCTTCGGGCATATTTCGGTATCGATTTCCGCAATGCAATTGTCCAGGTGCCGCAGCAGCCTGGCCTTGGAACCTGCATCCGTGAGCGTCGGAACACTAGGTAGTGGAGGTGGTTCAGGTGTAGCCAAGTACCGAGCTACTTCTCGTGCGCAATCTGTATACCCTGATCGGTACTTGTCGATGACAGGATTGTCCAAATTTCGGTGTCGTTGAAAGTGCCTCACCGTAAGCTCCAGAATATCAGCCTTTTCCAGCTTGGAATGCTTGGTTTGACCATCACCGGATTTGGTTTTCACTGTGGATTCCAGTATTAGAGCTTTGAGGATAGCTAAGCTCTGATTGATCCGTGCTCTCCTACGCTTCTCCATTAGTGGTTTGTTAGTGCGCTTCAGCGGATCTTGAGATGTGATGAGACCGGTGGCGGTGTTACCGTTCTGTAGATGGGCGTCTAACTTTGATGACAAGGCTGTTGCACTCAGTTCTATAGACACACAGAAAAATATCAATAAAGAGTACCGTATCTATATTCTGGAAATACTTGCCACTTCCGTGTTTATGCCCCTTGTAATCTTTATCCTTCTTTGCAGTCATTGTACGGTAGCTAGTGATAAGGACAAAATAAAAATTCTAATACTGTTGGAAAGAGCCAGCGTGCACGTTGGCAAGCACATTCATTCGTTGCTATTGTGGCTTCTTCTGGGGATTCTGATTGAAAGGGTCTGAAAGATAAGAAAATGGAAATGATGGTTGTTAGATAACTGATAAGTTATTGAACTAGTAGCTAGGTGGGACGAGGTATTTAGATGTCATAATTATTAATTTTGTTATATTCAACTGTTTCTTTCTTATAAAAATATGGGGTTTGGCGACTATTCACGGCATTTGTTTATTTGTTTATTAATAATTCAACTGACAATAAATGTCTAAAACTTAAACCAATTAGGGGCTGTTCATAAACTACGTAGACAATTTTTTGGGATTCTTAAACCCCCCCCCCCCTCCCCCCTGCATAGGCAATTGTCCATACAAAAATTTTAAAATTTGTATGGACCGTGGATAATTGCCACCCCCCCCCTTAACTATAACTAATGTTTAACTAATAGTTACGGTCAACGGTACGAAAGAGGCCAAGTAACCGATAACGAAACGCGTCAGCTCATGAATTGAAGTCGAACACACCGAAGAAGTTATTGAACTGCCGTCTGATTGATCTCGATTGATCTCGTATCTTACCCTACCAATCAGGATAAGGTCATGTTGTCCTCTGCTGCCGAAAAAGTCGTCTCCACTCTAGTCGCAGTCTGCGAAGGGTCCGCAGGTCGCCATCTACTTGGTCGATCCACCTTGCCCGATGCGTACCTCTTCTTCTTCGTCCTGTTGGGTCGCTTTCGAGAGCCATTTTCACAGGGTTGTCGTTCGGCATTCTTACGACGTGCCCAGTCCATCGTAGTCGCCCAATTTTTGTAATGTGGACGATGGATGGCTCTCCCTGCAGCTGGTGCAATTCGTGGTTCATTCGTCTCCTTCACGTTCCGTCATCCATCTGCACTCCACCGTAGATGGTACGCTATACCTTCCGTTCGAAAACACCGTTGGTCCGGCACGAGCATAGTTCAGGTCTCGTGGCCGGAGAGAACCACCGGTCTAATCAGTCTTGTTGATAGTCAACTTCGTGTGGCGGCTAATTTTATTCGACCGGAGCGTGCACCGGAGTCCAACTAGGCACGATTCCCTGCCATAATGCGTCTTTGAATTTCTCTGGTACTATTTTCGGCCCAAATACATGAACTCGTCGACCACCTCGATTTCGTCACCGTCAATCTGAAGTCGGGGTGGAAGGCTAACATTGTCTTCCCTAGAACGTCTTCTTCTCATGTATCTCGTTTTCGATGCGTTGATGGCAAGTCCAATCTGCTTAGCTTCATCCTTCAGTTTGATGTACGTTTCCTCCATTGTCTCAAAGTTTCGTGTCATGATGTCGATGTCATCGGTGAAGCCAAGAATCTGGATGGACTTTCTGAAAATCTTGCCATTCGTGTCTATCCCAGCTCTTCTGATCGGTGTGAAGTCTCTTTAATTAAGTAACCTAACCTAACCTTCTAACACAATGTTAAATAGCAGAATTGGCTCGTGTGGTGTATCATTTCTGCTCAGTTGTTCCGAAAACAGAAAGTCACGTTGATAAAGAGTTCTCTCGGGGCGTATGGATTTGGCTGTGCCAGCAATATTGAACAGTCTATGTCACCTCCAAGCAGCATTGCCAGGTTGCCAGATTTATCTGGTACAGCCAGGGAAATTTAAGCTCTGCCAGACAGATTTTTTGAGAAATCTGGCTGATTCCCTATGTTAGTTTATTGTCAGATTCACCAGACATTTTTTTTTCGGGTTTCGCCAGATTTTTTTCGAAATAAACCTGGCATCCCTGCCTGTAAGCAGCTTTCCATCGAACGAGCAATTCTCTACAGATCGACGAATTTTTCAATTTTTTTTAAATTTGTCGGCTCCGATTTTGATGAAAATTTGCACAGTTGTTCTTTTTTAGTGAAGATGCCAATTTGTGTTATCAGTTCTTCAAATTGAATCACGACTACTTTTCAAACAGAGCCTGTGTAAAAATAGTACTAATGAGTTTAAAAATATATATTGCTGAAACGGTTAGTTGGATTGATTTGGTGTCTTGAGCAAAGTTGTAGATATTATTTTGGCAATAATGTTAAAAATATACACTGTAAAAAAATTCGTTTGCTTCAATGAAAAAAATTATATTTGTTATTAAAAAAATTAATTTCTCAAAAAGTACATTTTTGAAACTTTTCGTTTTAAACTTTATTGAAGCTCATAATGTTTGCTACAAACTGGCAAAGTTTGGTGAAAAAAAACAAAAAAGTTAGAATTTTTTGAAAATTTCACGATTTTTACATTTTTATTAAAAACACATGTTTTTCAACCGCGTATATTTTTTCAAGAATCGCATTTTAATTTTGCACAACTTTTTTGAAGACACCGTAGCAATCAAGCAAGCCATTTTTGCAATGTATTAAAATGTTTATTTTATAAGCGCTTTTCTACACAGGCCCTATTGGAAAAGTAGTCGGGGTTCGCTACCCCGAAAAGAAGCACCGTGAAATCAACGAAGGTATTAAGGCTGACGAAGTGAATCAACTCAAAGAAGTTTTAGAAAACATGAAGGAAAAGTTTTCCAATGCATCCACTGCAAGAAGTGAAAAATTATTAATTTTATCGTTATTGCCTTATTCATGGTCAACACAAAAAGTTATGGATCAATTTAATGCTAGTAGATATATTGCAACAGAGGCTAAGTTAATAAAGGAAGGTCATTCGTCAAAAACCGCAAAATATGGCACAGCCTTAAGTGATGAAACAAAATTGGCAGTCATAATTTTTTTTGAAGATAAGCCGGGCAATGCCTGGTCTAAAAGATTATTTGTCTGTGCAGAAAGAAAGAAAACGACAAGCCATTCAAAAAAGATTACTAATGATGACTTTGAGAGAAGCTTATAAACGATTCAATGAAATGAAATGAAATTCACTGCAATGTAAAAATTGGATTCTTTTCATTTGCAAAAATCCGCCCTAAGCAATGTAAACTTTTAACCAGCTCTGGAACCCACAATGTTTGCGTGTGCACAATGCATGAAAACATCAATCTAATTTTACACAGTTTGAAAAAACTTACCAATTTAAATGATGTAAAAACGTTCACTGACAGCATACTATGTGAAAACAAGACAACATATTGCTATCTACGGTGTTGTGAAGATTGTCCAGACTCTTCCGCATTAGAAAACATTTTATTAAAACAATTAGAGGAAAAATGCATTGATCAGCTTTCATTTGAACAGTGGGTTACCACGGATAGACGTGATTTAGAAACTAAATACTGTAAAGCCTGCAGACGAGTTTGTTTCATTTTTCTGCTTGAAATTGACAAGTTTGATACCACATGATTTCATAAAAACGCAGCAATCTAATTTTTTGAAAACTACACGAAATAATTTGCAAGAAGGTGAATTTTTAGTTACTTGCGATTTTTCCGAAAACTACAGCTTTGTGTTACAGGATGAAGTTCAGTCTCATCACTGGAATGTCCAACAAGCTACCATTCATCCATTTGTTATATATTTTAGAGAAAATATGCACGTTAAACATTTAAGTTTTATTATAATTTCTGAAGAGTTAAGGCATGACTCAGCGGCTGTTAACTGTTAATGTTAATAATCATTTAGTTTTGCCACAACAGAGGAATACGAAAGTATGGCTTCACACCTCAACGAGCAATATAATAATGCAAAAATAATTCAAGGAACTCAAAAGTTTCATTCTTTCATTCCTGTTTCAGAAAATGAAATTGAAACCAAACCTTACACAAACTGTAATGATAATGATGCCAAAATATTCAATGTTTTTAATAAGTGATGTAAATAAAAATAGAAAGTAAGCGTATTACAATGAAAATAAATTATGTATCATTTGTCCATAAGATTTCAGAATAAAAAAAAAGTAAAAAAGAGCAGAAAAATGTATTTTGTAGATTGATGTTGAAATTTGAAAATATTGCGAACCCCGACTACTTTTCCAATAAGGCCTGTGTATAAAAGCGCTTATAAAATAAACATTTTAATACATTGCAAAAACGGCTTGCTTGATTGCTATGGTGTCATGGGAAAAGTTGTGCAAAATTAAAATGCAATTCTTGAAAAAATATACACGGTTAAAAAACATGTGTTTTTAATAAAAATGTAAAAATTGTGAAATCTTCAAAAAACCATAACTTTTTTAGAGTTTACCATCACCAAACTTTGCCAGTTTGTAGCAAACATTATGAGCTTCAATAAGGTTTCAAACGAAAATTTTCAAAAATGTACTTTTTGAGAAATTAACTTTTTTAATAACAAATATATTTTTTTTTCATTGAAACAAACGAATTTTTGTACAGTGTATATTTTTAACACAATTGCCAAAATAATATCTACAACTTTGCTCAGAACACCAAATCAATAGAACAAAGCATTCCGGCAATATATATTTTTAAACTCATTAGTACTATTTTTACACAGGCCCTTTTCAAAAAGAAGTCGTGATTCAATTTGAAGAACTGATAACACAAATTGGCATCTTTACTAAAAAGGAACAACTGTGCAAAGTTTCAGCGTAATTGGAAATTATCGGTCAGGATCGATTTGCGAACCTTCGTGGAATGCCTCACATAGCTTGAGCAACCGTCCGTCTCACCTCTAGTTGTTCGACGCCCAGGAGACGGCAACAGTGGCAGGTTCGTTGGGTCACGCCAACTGAGAAAACGAAGAGCGTATCTTGCAAACTTCCGGATTCAATTTTAGCGATCCAGTTGGCATGGACATGGAAGGACACCATACAACAGAAATTGACTCCAATAAATACTGCAAAAGTGAGCAGTAAAGTGACCTGAGGCATAGCGT